TGCAACATAACAAATGACAAATGAAGCACCAATAACTTTCGACTTCCCCTGGCTGCGCACCGCAAAAGACCTAATTCTGTTCTGTATGTAGTATGACAGGCGTAYGTACCTTATTGTATTCATCACACCTACAAGTAGTACATACATACCACTAATTGTTATGGTACAATGTACAAGCTACTGGTACTGTACAAACTACTAGTAGTACTAGTAAATTAGAAGTACGAGTCTTGTACTTGTACTCATTGATTGTCCTCTGTCGATTGTGGAGTATGAGTTTAATTTGAGTAAAATGCATGCATTGACCATATGAACCCTATCACGTCCTACTACAGGGCAAAAAGGCAAAGGCATTCTACTTGAACACCAAGAATTATTACTACTAGTAGTAGCATTGCAGTTAATTTTGGGCCCAGTGTTTTAKTACTACTGATCCTACATAGATCTACTAGTTTTTGGTCACTTTTTGACTGCAAACAGTGTAATACTAGGACATTTAGAGGAACTGCTCCGGTATGGCCTGAGAGCAGCTGTTCTTTGGGGAAAAGCTTCTTCCTCATAGTGTTGGGAACAGGGATTCTCCATTAACACCCAGTACGGCCCAATATGGCCAGTGGAGACCAGCTGCTGGTTAGAAAATAGGCCAGAACTCTATCAAAAAACAACTTTAGACCACCAGACTAAGCGCCCCGACCAAGATGATACAATTACTTAGCGATCCAGGTCATTGGGATGCTTTAGGATGCTCTGGCGGCTTAGAACTAGTCTGCCGAAGTTACAGTGAATTTTGGCCGTTTTTTCACTCTAGTTAAACTCGTAATCGCTAGTCCTAGTACTCGTACTTACTTGACTCAACTACGGTATCATAATAGTGTGTAGCCGCGTACGAACAGCGAAGACAAGAGTCTCACATTTAAGTACCCGTACTTCTAAGAAACAACTTTTCGTCAACGTTCGATCACTTCGTACTTTGTCGACATCTGGAGAACAGGACGCGACGATGGTACTAGTGCCAGCGAGAAACACGGCAATTTTGTTTCYAGCAGTAGCACTAGCTCTGTGCAATACTTTTTCCTTCGACGGGCCCCGGTTCATAGTCTCCGCAGACCAAGACGAAAGTGGTTCTTCCTTTGAGGAAGCACAGGGCTTTATACGGACCAAGAAAACGAACGCGTCTTCCGCAGTCGAGACCGCGGAAGTACTCGACTGCACCCGCTCGTCGTTCGAACCAGGCCTTCTGGAGAAACCCTGTGAGCTCGATGAAACGRGAGGCCCGGCACCGGCAGAATTTTCGCTCATCTTTCCGACCCAGTACGGGGACTTCACCGCAGACTGTGTCCGGGAACGTGCGCCGGTGTGGGCCGATCGGGTCTACAAGCTGGCAAAGCACGGATACTACAACGGCAAYTACTTCTTTCGGGTCATTCCCGGGCGATACATACAGTTCGGAACGAGCGGCGATCCGGCCGTGAGTAACGTATACAACTACACCTCGACTACCGATCCGGAATGCTCCGTCCTGCGTCCGCAGCCACCGGATATGCCCTATTGCCTGGCATCGTCGTCTTCGTCGCATCCGCATGACTGCACGGGCGTGCCAGCCCTGAGTAACGACTTTGGCACCCTGGCCATGTCGACGAGCTACAAGCAGGGCGTCCCGGGCTATCCCGATGGCGTCACGTGGAACGCCACGGCRGAGCTCTTTATAAACATCGGGCAGAACCACTTCCTGGACTCGAATCTCTTCATTCCAATCTGCACCATCGATCCGGTCGCGATGGAGGAGGTGGTCCTGCGATTTCCCTCCTTCGGGGAGGTTTCGGAGCTCGGCGGAAACGGTCCGAGCCTCGGGCTCTTGTACCAAGACGGGAATCCMTACATCGAGTCGAACCCTGAATGGAACGCTTCCATGGCTGTGACATCGATCGTCTCGATTTGTACGGCCCCAGRCATCCCAACGAAGGGTGAGATGGAAGCGAAAAGCGACAGGGCTTCGGCGCGATCGATCGGCACAAACCACGGGCGTAGCAGGCTGTCGTGGATAGCGTCCATAGCGTGGAAGGGCRTTGCCGTTTGGTTGATTTCATTGATTGTGCTGAATTGAACAACATCTCTCTGTGAACCCATTGAGGGCGATAGAAATCTGTTTTGGGCGCAAACACGGAAATGGTTTCGAAAAACTGGGGAAACAATCGAGCCGGGATTTCACTTAGAGATGGATCGTCACGCTCGAGCACAAATGAGACCTCTCCCAATGGCGGTAGTTTCGTGTGCTCGTTCGGAAGCCTATCAAAAGCATAGCGATTCAGCAACGAAAATAAAATCAGTCAGAAAAACTCTTATCTGTAGTGTAGTTGTATCGATCGGCTTTCTTTGGGTTTCGTCGCACATTCCCATTGGTTCTTCCCCGTATAACACGCCCTCCCCGTAGCCCGCCGATGGTTTCYTCCCGGGCGTCCCGGCGGACACGRCCAAACCGAGCACGCCYAGAGGTGCAATTTCATCCCGCCAGCTCGATCCACGCGCTCCGCAGCGTCCACAGGATCAGGCCAAATCCGCACGCGACCAGGCCGCGTTCCCTCCACGGAAGCACCCCCAGCAAGGACCACCCCGCTGGAGCGGGGGAGAGGGTTCCGCCGCTCCGGCCAGCGATGGTGGTGGACTGCCTCTGCCGGGCCCACACGAGCGGGGGCAGGACAAATGCGAGAAAGGTCTGGGAGACCCCACCGACCAGGCCGCTCAGCAGGCCAAAGGCCGGAACGAGGGTGGCGGCACCCGCCGCGACGACCCCGAGGGCGAGGCACACCGCCATGTGGGTCCTCCAATCGATCACGCCAACACCTTCGTCGTTGTYGTCGTYGTTGTTTTCGTCGTTCTCGCGGATCGGGATGCGATCCACCAAATGACCGACGGTCTCCGCACCTTCGTCGATCTCGAAGCTAGCGATGGCGTTCCTCTTGCCGCAGGTCGACGATGCCGGAGAAACCCCGCCGGAGGGGACGAGCGCCACGCCGTCCTCCCCCGGGTCCTCCGGGACCCCCMGGGGCCGCCTCCCCGGGGGACGGCGGTGGCGGAAGCAGTGCCGCTCCAGAACGACGATCGACGGTCGCATCACGACGGGGTAGGTCAGCAAGAGATCAACACACAGCAAGAACCGGACCAGGGCCATCACGGGGCCGCCTCCCACGTTCATCAGAACGATTTCCTCCGTGTCCGCCCCGAACAGGAGGTACCCGGCGACGCCAAAACCCCCGCCGAYGGCCCCGCAGACCACAAAGGTCCGCCGAACCACCGCCCCGAATCGGTCCTCGTGGCGATCGCYGCCGGCCCTTTCCCCGGTCTTTTCCGCCCCTTCGGCCATGCTCGATTCGATCGGCAGCACCAAAAAGTGCACCAGAAAGAGGTAGCCGATGGACCCGAGGGCGGGGGCCATGTCCCGGGGGGACCCCACCGCGACACAGCTCCCGGAAMGGTGCTCCCCRGCCAGAAGGCCGTCCACCAGGACGGCCAGCATGCCCGCGGCGACCGAGACGTCCCCCCAGAAGGAGACCGCCGCGAACCGCTTCGGGTCGCGGACCGACGACAGGAGGACCGCGGCAGGCATCGCCACCCCCCAGACCAGGGCCGGGATGCTGGGACCCCCGTCGCTGCTATCGTTTCCCAGCAGCTGCCCGAGGTTGGCCGCCACAAAGACCAGGTAGCTCCCGCAGACACCGATCGACGCCGAGACCGATGCCACCCAGGAGGCCAGGGCCCCTGCGGGCCCAAAGGCCGACCGCGCCACCTCTACATACGTCAGCGAATGYCCTCCTCCTCCCGAGGAGAACCCGTTCCGTTCCGCCCGCAGCCAGCGGGCGCACTCCGCCAGCAGCCCGATGGAGTGGACCGAAAGGCCCAGAAAGACCRCCAGAACCAGGGGCCCGGCGAGGTAGCCCATCCTGGAGAAGGCCCAGGGGAGGGCAAAGGAGCCGGCCCCCATTATGGCCTTGGCCAGGGACACTCCGGCTTCCCAATCGGACATGCCCCGCGATAGTGGTGCCATGGTCAACGGGGTTTCGCGGCAGTTGCTTTGTGCCGTCGGGGAGTGCCAAAAAGATTGGTTGCTGCCGGATGGAGGTTGGTGGAGCGAAAAAAGATTCTCTTACGGCGATTCGAACGCCGGATGCTTGATTCAAAGTCAAGAGTGATAACCACTTCACTATAAGAGATTGTTTGAAATTGGTGCCAGAGTGACGTGTACTACGCTACATAAWCTGACTCACTCCTTCCATTTTTTGCCAAAAATTTGCGCGAACCAGAATTGCCAAAAAGGTATCCTGCCGCTCCCGCAGATTTCGGACTGCCATCGGAATTGCAATCCCTACCAACCGCAAGGAGTCATTCGTCCAACCCTTGTCGATCTCGTTTGATCGACAAGGGTTGGACGAATGACTCCTTGCGGTTAGTAGGGATTGCGATTCCGATGGCGGTCTAATCTTATCGTTTGGTGCCTCGGCTCCTACACTCTTGCAACATTGTACGACTACGAGTGGTGTGGTAGCTCTGCACTGCGACCAGTACGCTTTACGCTTACACTGCCTCCACAAACCAAAACGAGCGTCTGGAGTTTTGAGAGTTTGAGTACGAGAAGTACGAGTACCAGYACTCGTACTTTCCCTACGTGCGATACKCAAGTACAAGATGTGCTTCCAAGAGACGGACTAAAGAATTGTTCGTGAGGAGGTACGAGTTGCTCTAATGTTTATGCGAGAAAAAATGGATCTGAAGTAGCTTCTATTTCKTTGGAACTTGCCTTCGCACGGGAAGGATCAGGTYGTCAGTTAGTCGTGAGGCAACTGCTCACTGCACTGATTCTTCTTGCGCGGTCTCTCGTCTCACAAAAACTGTACGAACGAATGCTGTATCAAGTCGTGCGTGACTCCGCGTGATGCCGGAATGGCTACGAGTACTGTACGGTACGTACGCTTCGTACGCTACGACTTGAATGGAAGTGTTTCCCTTGCCCGAGAAGGAATGAATGAATCATCACAGAACGCGGAATCGTCGTTACGATTTGGATCGTTCGTGCTTCCCTCTCCTGGTATTCCATTTGTTGAGCATTGCAATAGAGCACAGAGCAGTTTGCGTTCGTCTTCTTCACCATCCAACAAAGAGTGCCGCTAGTATCTCTTACAAAACAACCACAACCGACATYACCTACAGTTTCGGACCAACCCAATGTCCGTCCAAACATCGACCGCAGCGACGACTCCCGCTACCCCGTGGTGCGTGGAAGAGCCCGCCGAACCGCAACGCGAGGCGATGCGCCAACCGTCCACGCCCACCGGTCGCAAGCGAAGCATCCACGGAAGGTCGGCGAGCGTCGCTTCCATCCTTTCCCGGCTGTCCGCAGACGAGCTGGAAACCGCCGCGCGGAGCTCCTACGAGTACCCGAGCAGCCGGAGCAAAWGCGACGTCGATCCGGAAGAAKACCGGTACCGCTTCGCGGGCCGGTTCGTCGAGCGGATCCTGGAGTCCAAGCACGGCGACGAAGGACCGGCCTTCGCGAAGGTCCGGGAGATCCTCGCCTTTCGCGAGACGGCTGGGATCGACCGCCTCGTGAGGGCCTTCGATGGCGGCGGTGCCGGCGAGGATACGGCAYTGGCGGCGGCGCTCCGCCGGAGCCTGTCGTCCGGCAAGTTCTGCGTGAGGGGCTTTGACAGGGAGGGCCGGTCGACCCTCTGCTTTGTTCCGCGGAACGTCCGGAGGGGCCAGCACGACCTCGGGAGCGCTCTCTACTCGATCGAGCGCGCGATTGCCTCGACCCGGTCGGGGGACGGGACCATCAACTGCGCGGTGGACTTTGGGGGGTTTTCCCTCTCCAAAAACACCCCCCCTCCGGAGGCGGCCCGGGCCTTTCTCGYGGCGCTGAGGACCGTCTACGCCGGCCGGATCCACCGGATCTTTCTTGCCAACGCCCCGGCGTCCTTTTCGGTCCTGTGGAGGGTCTTCTCGCCCCTCGTGGGGACCGACACCCGGGGMAAGATCGTGCTGGTTGCGCCGGCCACRAGCCCGAGCGAGAGCACCCGGGGGGAGCAAGAGGTGCTGGGCCTCTACGATCACGACCAGGTTCCCTCGTGGCTCGTCCCGGGTGGGACCAAGAACCGGCCCCTGGACCTCGACGAGTACCTCTGCCGGCTGCCCTTTGATGCGGCGTTCGACGATCTTTGAAGGGGCRKYGTGCAGGCATGCACGCATGGATGCATGGCGACAAGGGGGATCCAATCACGAACCGTCCATCCAAAGCATATTAAAAGTTACTTTGTTCAATAGAGAGTACTGTTTTCGATTAGAAGTACTACAGTACTGTATTGTGATTTTTGTGATGTCCGTCTCGTTTATTCAACTACTTTCAAGACATTAAATACAGTATTGCCATTGAAGGAATGATATGCTTCCAATCGGGCAGATSAAACAATTGTGCGGCGAGAAGCGATTCATTCATTTCTTGTTGTTGCATTCTGAATTTTTCGTCTTAAACCAACGCATGCATCTGCAATCGGCCCTCCAGCCCCGGGGGAAACAAGTTTGAGGAATCGCATCGCATCGGAGTGGGCCAAACAAGGTCGAGAAAGAAAAGAAAGGAAGAATCGTTGTCGCCATGGCCTTGAAACGGATCTCCGTGTCTRTGTGAATTCTCATCAAGTACATTAATAATGCTTCCATGATTTTTTGTCCCACCACSATGTGTTTCGGATTCAGTCCCGCAGTGCACGATTGGATCTAAGCGATGGCGTGCCGTCACGAAATCATTCTTAGAATCCTTTCCTTTCTTCCACGATCAAAAATTCAAAACTCAAAACCAGACCGATCAAAACCGTTTCGAACAAAACGGCTAGTTTGTATACCGTACCATTCTGTATTGGGATGGGTTCGACGGCGATTATTCCTTGGAACGAACGAATCGATCGATGGATCGTTCGTTCGGCGATGCCGTAACCAGCGCCTCGCACATTTTCCAGCACTGGGTTGGGTTCTTTTCTCGAAATGCCCGCGTGCTTTTGGTTGTGACCATTCTTTTTCGACGACGTTCGTTTCCTTTTGATTTCCTTGTGTCGAGGCATTGCTTCCAAAACTCCTCGATCTTCCACTCTCTCTCTCTCTCTCTCTTCTTCTTCTTCTGCCGCGATCCACCCCCACCCCCACACCATGGCCAGAAAACCCCGCGAAATCCCCAAGCGCGCCAGGGCCACCAAGGCCGCCTCCAAGCCCGCCAAGAAATCCCTCTCGAAAAAGGGAGCGGSAACCACCACCGGGTTCAAGAACCCCCGGGAGGTCAGCGACGCCGTCTTTCGCTTCATGTGCGAGGAGCACGCCTACGGGGTGACCGAGTGGACCCGGGCGGAGCTGGCAAGCGCCGTCGGCTTTGGGAACCCAAAGACCGAAAAGTTTGCCAAGGGCCTCAAGAACCTCGTGAGCCACGAGGGCCTCGCGGAAAGCGGCGCCACCGGGGGGACGCTCGTTCTGAGCGCCCTCGGGATCGCCCGCAAGCCGACCGAAAAGACCCCGGCCACCCTCGGGGACCTCCACAACCGCTTCCTCGAGCGGCTCGCGCAGAAGTGCAAGGGCGGTACCGACAAGCTCCCCGCCGTCTGGGACATTCTGAAGGACCGAAAGGAACACAGCATTGCCTCCGTGGCCCAGAAACTCGGCTACAAGAACCCCAAGTCCTTTGGGAACACAAAGATCATTGCCACCATGAGGGCCATGGGTCTTGTCGAGAATGGCTCAGGAAGAGGAACCGTGCAGATGACCGAGAAAGCGTTTCCTTCCAACCTCTGCAACTAAGRAATGCTTTTCTGACAYATTCCACGGTACTCATTGCATTCGGTTCGGAAAATAYAGTAGTTGTAACATAAAAATATTWGACAAATCTATTCTATGGAACGTACACWCTGAGTTTCTACATTGACTTTCATTGAAAAAATTACGGTGTAAACTTGARTTTTCTAGTTTTCCCTGACCGTGTCGTATAGTGTATGAGTTATGTTACATCGCATTTGCCGATTGCAAAGATCATTGCTGGATCGGCCCATGGTACTGTTGTATATATGAATCRTGTTTGTCGGTAGGAAGGACCACCATTGGTACCGTTCCTTTCCCTAAATATCCCGAAACCAATCCATTCCGCTTCAACACCGTTTGGTTTGGTGGTGACGATCAATGGTTTCCCCAGCCTTCTGATTTCGCTCCGATTTCGTTCAGCACGCCAGGGYCGTCTTGATGGGGGATTTGGCTCCCTTGACGAGCTTYCGGAGCCTTGCCCGGTGGGCCGCGAGCTCCTTTTTCCTGGATTGGGCTTGCTCGAAACGGGCCCTCGTGTATTCCGTCCGCTTGGCTTCTACATCGTAGTGCAGTTGCTTGGTGTCCCGGGCCCTCGCAGCTTCCAGGCGWTGCTTCAGCTCGTGGTTCTTCCTGGCCAGCTCCCGTTCCCTATGCACCGCTTCCTCGTTGTGGAACATCTCCTTTTCCAGGCGGTCGAACTCAACGTCCTCGTCGAGGTTCTTTTCGACYTTGCACTTGGTGCCGGCTAGGCGCTCTCGGTGCTCCGCGTTTCGCCGAACCAGTGCCTTGGTTCGTTTCTCCGCCTCTCGGCGACGGGACCGTTCCATTTCCAGCCTTGCTCGCTCGACACTAGAATCCAGCRTTTTCTGGTCACGGCCCTTTGCCYCCTCCAATAGCTTTCTCATCAATGCATTCCTTTYCGCCAGTTCCTTGTTCTTTCTTTCCGTTTCGGCGCGCCGTTCTTTTTGTTTTGCGGTTCGAACCGCTTCGGTTTTCGGGCTCAGTTTCATKTCGCGGACTACCACCCCTTTGGTACTAGACCGTTTGCAATACYGTCGCTTCAGAGCCACTTCATGGGCCTTGAGCTCGAGTTGTTTTATCTCGGCAAATTTTCGGCGTTGTTCTCTAAGCATCTCCCTTTGTTGCTGTGTCACTTTGTCGACCTTCTTGTACGATTTGATCGGAGACTCGGCCTGCTTCAGCCGCTGCCGAAAGAGCTTGTTTTGTGCAGCAATCTCCTTTCTTCGTTTTTCCTCCTCTAACCGACGTTTTGACTCCAGCTCGGCTACTTTTTTCTCGAATTGGTCGTCAGTCGCCGTGCGTGCCGGACACGGTTTTGGATTGCCTCTATACCGTTTTCGTTTTTTCTCATCGAATCTCTGGCGAGGCGGCTTCGTTGTCGGTGGTTCTTTTCTGCCCTGTGCTTCGGTTTCGAAGTCGTCCGAATGTGTGAAGAGGGGCCCGGCRGCCCTCAATTGCTCCCGGATCGACTCRTTTTGCTGGGAAAGCTCTCTCTGTTTTGTTTCGGCTCCAGCCTCTCGTTTCGTTTTCGGCTCCCTTCTGAGCTGCTCGGTTTCTTCCTCTGGGTTCTGGGAAARCTGTCGTCCCAGCATCTCGTYCTGTTCTACMAGTTCTTTGATGCGACGATCGCGTCCCTCGGTTCTTGTTTGACGGATGTCGTCGAGTCCTTGGTTCCAACGAGCCGCCGTAGCCGRTGGCTCGGCTTGTGARTTCTGTCGGTGGGCACCCGCGCCGACCGTTTCCACMAGTTGTTTGTGCATGCAASTTCTGCCCTCTCGAACGTCGGGATCCTTCCGGACATCCCGTGGCTCGGCAGCGGGCGATTGGAGAATCCTCGTCGAGGGGCTGCTGCCGGTCGAGGAAGAACCACCGTACGACGACGACGCCCGGGTGGAAGGTGTGCGGGGAGACGTTTTTGTTTTTGGCGACGGCGACGGCGACGGCGGAGGCGACGACGAAGGGGACGTCGGTCGGTCGCCGGGGACCGCCACGATCTTTCCGGGCTCCGTGTTCGGGAAAGCGCCGCCTTCTGCGCTTCCGGCACGGTGGAATTCTTGAGCCGTTGTCTTCGGCGACTGGATCTCCCTCGTCTTCKTCTTCGTCTCGTCACCCACCCAGCGAAAGACGGGCAGCATGTTGTCGGCGTTTACACTCTTCATGGTTCCATTGGTTTTTCGCAGACTGACTGTTGATACTGCAATTATACTGACTGCGCTTGCAGTGCTACTACTGTAKGGAGGAACAGACTCAATTTCCCTGGATTGATTCCGATTTTCTAATTTTGTAAACAATACGACCTTCCTCGCTCGTGTCAAAAAATAAAGTTCTCATCCTGAACGGAGGCAGAACAAAACGTCAATACAAGAACGAATACCCCATCTTCTTCTTCGTTTTTACCATCCAACTGCAACGAACCTAAAAGTGCCCAAAAGGCTGTTACTGGACAAAAAAGAGCGCGCCTGCGCTGGTAATTGTTTGGAGTAGAGATCTGAGGTGTCGTTGATTCGTTCGACTGAAAAATAGTGAGATGATATGTGCAGGGTCAGGTACTTGGCGTACGTAACTTACCGTACGAGTTCAACACATGCGAGGAAAAAGAAAAATCCCCGTACCGCACCTATTCTTACCTAAAAATTTCGAGAGAACATTCCGCGGGGATTCTCATTTTAGAAGTACATTTTTAGCTCTTCTGAGAGTATTTGATTTTTGTAGGCGTCGAGGAAAAAAAAACTCCAAATTTCGACCCTCAGACATCACAAAGTRTGGTAGTAGGTGTTGTTGTTTCATGCCCGCACGCAACCCTTCGCAAGCGGCTCCGCCAGGCAGGACCGWGTCCTCGTTCTTTCAGCCGAGATCCTCGGTGTTGGACGAGAAATGGAACGTGGAAGCACCGCCGGTGCGCGTGCCGGAGGAACTGCCACCGACGGAGGCATCGACCGCGAGAATSCGAGGACGTCGTTGTCGCCGGTACGTTCCCCTCACTCCGAACCACTCGTCGTGGGTGGTTCACGTTYCGGGMTTTTGTCCCCCACCGTCGAAGCGGGTCTTCCGAGAGTTTTGGGRAAAACATCCTCCCGAGAAGCATTCCCTGGTCCTGTTCGGAAAACCCGTACTCGAAAATCGCTACAGCCAGATGTATTCGGTGGCGAAAGCAAAGGCACCGGCGAAACCCACCGGCAGGAAACCAGTAGATAGTGGCGGTTCTCATCAGCACGAGTACTACACGTATTCGGGAACCACCCGTCACTGTCTTCCGTGCGATCCATCCAAGCGGGACGAAAAATTCGTCGTCGATTTGTGCTCGTCGGCTGACCAGATCGTGACGGCGTTGTTGGGAAACCAAAACAACGAGGGTCGCACACAAGCGCACCAAACGCTGCAAAACACCGGGGAGGGTCGGGTTGGAAAGTTAGGCGTTGCTCGTACTGAAGACGAACAGCAGCAGCAGCAACAGCAACACGGAAGAACAATTTACAACTGCTGCCTGGTCAATTGGTACACTCCCGACCATACCATTGGATTGCATTCGGACAACGAATCCGAAATGGACACCTCGTGGCCCATTGTATCGGTATCATGGGGCGGACCACGGAGGTTTTTGCTTCGCCCCAAACCACCAAATAGCAGCAGCAGCAGTACTAACCACAAAAACAAACCACCACCGCCAAAGATCGCCGTACACGAATTTTGGCTGGGGGACGGGGATCTCTTGGTCATGGGGGGGAGGTGCCAAGAAGAATTCAGGCACGAGGTTCCAAGGGTCCGAACYACCAAGGATGGGGTGGTTGGGAATCGGATCAGCTGGACGCTGCGGAAAATGAGACGCAAGAAGGAACGGTCTGCGAGCCACAGCAGTCGCACGAGCAGAGACCCAAACCAATATTCTAGCGCAGAAGGGAGTGGCGAGCGGAAGCGCAATCCAGAGTTCCCACGCACGAATACTACCGACGGAAAGAAACGAGCAATCTACAATCCATATACGCACAATACGCGAAGGTAACTACGAAGAACCACCATACGGAATAGAAGTAGTGCGTGTCAACAAATTGAGTAAGACAGAAGGATAAAAGTCAGCATTTACTCTACATAAACCTTTACTTTACATATTGTCCGAGTTGTTTGTGGTTTTCAAGTTCTAAGAAATATGCCGATGCGACTTTAACAACAATACCAAAATCATGATTGGAATATAACTTTGAATACCATTGTATTGGAGAAACCTCCCCGACTTTTTGCATGCCTTGAATTTCTGCTTCCAATGCCAGCCTTTTTCTTAGAACTTTAGAACCACAATMAACTCGAACCGTTGTGATCTGCACTATTTACTTAAGGATGGACGTCTCCTGTATTCCTCGAGCATCACGGGATCCGCGTTTTTGAGCAATTTCCAGTACGCCTGCTGCGGTACAAAGCGATGGCTCGTGCTGTCATTCTTTTCGCCACTGGCTTCCGTCGATGGCGATGGCGTTCTCAATCTTTGGCTCCATTTGTGCTGCTGGTTGCTTTCGAAGGACTCCTCCAGGTCTTCGAGGACGGCAGTGGTCGTATCAACCAGAAAGCCGTTCTTATCGACGACGTAATTGTTGTTGTTGCTGCTGCTATTCTCATTACTACTACCAGCGCCGCCGACTTTGGTGCTGCTCTTGCCCATCCTGTTTGTCTCTAGGGACTTGGGGTCCGATCCAGCCTCTTGGGCTTTGGGTCGGGCCTCGGCAACAATAGGGAATCCATCCGAGTCGACGGCTCGGGCGATCGGGACCTTCGTGCTCGCTGGTTTTAGTGTTTTTGGAACCTGTTCGCCTTTTGGCGGCTGGCTTCTTTTCTGTTGGACGGAATGTCTCATCTTGGCTCTKRCTTCTGTAACGGCAGCAAGAGAGCGTGGTGCCGGGTTGGTGGTTTTGGTGTGCCCGGAGGTCGCATTTGTTCTTGTTGATGGTAGCACTTGTGGAACCCGTCGGACTTTCGGTGGTGAGTTTCGTTTCTTGTCGGTACGAAGCGAGTTAGTCCCTCTCGTTCGCCCCGTCTGTTTGGATAGTGGCTTGCCCTCGTCGAAGACGAACCGAAGAGTCCTACGAATTTCACCACTGTGGCTCACAGAGGTCGAAGGGTTTTCGTTTTCGGCCTCTTCCGCTGGAACCTGCAATTGTGGCGAGTAAATTTCATCTTGCGTTGTTTGTTTAGAGTCCTCTGCTGCTTCTGCACGAATCAATAAGCTGCCGGTTGAATGAATGTCCTCGTCGCAGTCGCCGTCGCCGTCGTCGTCGCTTTTGTTGTTTTCGGAAGGTACCGGAACGTCTTGCTTCTTGGACTCCGATGCGGGTGCTACTTTCTCATCAACCACTGGTTTCGAAACAGTTGTTTTTGCGGCACGGTAGGGCAGATTGCCGAGGATCGATGAGAACGATTCGTAGCCGTTCGCCTTATCAACGTTTGGCAGCAGCTTAGATTCATCACTTTGAAGCTGAGGTAGATCAGTCGGGAGGCTATGCTCAAGTGTCAGCTCACGGTAGTCGCAAACTTYGCTCCCTCTTGATTGACTGCAATCACCGTCAAGAACTGTTTCAAGATCCCATGATAGGAGAGGTGCATCTAAATCAAAAGAGATAGYTGGCAAAGMATCCCCAAATGCTATCGAACTTCCTATAAATGGGAAAGAATCTTCTTTTTCACTTTCGGTCTCCYCATATTCCTTGTCGTTARATGAAACGAATATGCAAGGGGCACCGAGCATTTTAACAATTGATCGTTCCATGACATCATTTGCCTCTGTCGTAAAGGCATTGCTTTCCATATGYGAGGGATTGTAGCTCACGTCGCATTCTTTATCGTTGACAATTSCATTAAAATTATTCTTTTCTAGAACCTCTTCGACAAAAGTAGACACTCTGCACAGGATACCCTCTATATCATTGGGAGCTTCGTCGAAACATTTAGGGTGTACTGTGTCTGGTACTCCCAATGSAATATCCTCAAGTATGTAAGCGGAATCGTTAGCGTGTGTCTTCTCGTCTTGKAATTCGACTGGTGTCGTATTGATATCACCAGCGGTAACTTCTTGATATTCGACATAYTCAACAACTGATGGATATGTTTCTAAGACGTTTTGGTCAGGTCTTGACGTTTTACTTTCTGTCGATTTTGGTGAACTCTCCACTTCCCGTAGCAAAGTCGAAATCAGCGGCCGTGACATTGTTGAAATATCCTCAACTTCGATCTGGCACAGAGAATCTTCTTCGGTTCCCATMGTAGTTGCTGTTTCCATAGAAGTGTTCAAARCATTTTTCGTMTTCTCTAAYGGCTCTTCTTTTGTTTCTGTTACCATAGGAAAGTTCAGTTTGTTCTCCGTCTTTTGATATAAGTTTTCCGACGCATCCTTTTCGTCGTTTCGATCATCCGAAAACACGAAATCATGGATTTCGGCAGGTCCATTGAATGGAATTTCCTGTTTGGTRGAAGATTGCGGGAGCTTCCGGTTATTTTTCGAAACTGAACGATCACTTTTTTCTCGTTGCTCTTTGTGYTTTCGACTGCACAACAGGCGTTCCGGATTCCAAGTCCGTTTGCTACGTGTACTGCGATATGCTACATTACTCGATCTTCCGGGTCGCCTTTGCGCATCGCCCTTTATCAACTGCTGCTGATCGCTGGGCCTCCAAAAACCCAACTTGTTTTGATCGACGTCCTTTGTTGCAACAACGAGTTCGATGTCACGCTGTGTCTTGCCTGGATCGTCCTCGTCATCGCAGGAGACGTGAATTTGAGTGGTCTCGGTASGCTTCTGAAGTTTCTTTCTGAGAAATTTTATTCTATTCTTTGTCTGATTGTTCCGATTCTGTTCCTTTGCGACTGACTCAATTTTCTTTGACTGGAGATAATCAAGACAATTCTTGGTGTCAGCCTCAGAGGATTTGGCAGGCTTGATGCCACTATCATCATACGTTTGTTCAATCCCCTGTAGAGTACAATGTGTTTGATCTGAAGCTTTTCCATCGGTTTGGCTGTCGCAAGACTCGTCAATCGTTGGAGAAGACGGAATGAGGCTACCCGTGTTTGCATATATGTTTGGAATTGGTCTTGCCGTACGTGCCGTRCGTGCCATAGTGTGCGTACTGCTGCGTCTCTTTTGGACAGGGATGGCATCGTCAGTGTCAGCGTATTTGTCTGCGTCAGTGTCAGCGTACAGGTAKCTCTCACTTGAAATGAACCTGTCGTTGGGCAGAGTCCGAGCTCTGACGACTCCTTCTGTATTCGAATCGTAGACAACTTCTTTGCCGTGGTCATGGCACGCACGTGAGTAACTACTTCGCRCTTCTTGGATKCGTATGTCATTGAGAATCTCATTCGCGGAAACTCCCTCGTACAAACTCTCGACTTGGTTGCTTCTATCTTCATCTTTCGTGTCCTCTTTCTTTTTAGACTGCCGTTTCTTTCTATTGAAACTGCTTCTTGAGCGTCCGGAACCTTCTTTCTTTCCGAAACTGCATCTCGAGCGGCGCGAACCCTCTTTGGTTTCAGACGATGCATCATCTTCGTAGATGACTTCTTTCTCGTCATTTTCCTTCGCAAACATGATATCGGTAGGAATTTGAACCATCGATGGTGCTCGATTCGAATGTGTTGGTTCATTCTTGTGTTGAAGGCCACGATTGGTTTTGTGCTTCTCCCTCTGAGGCACTGAGGCTTTCGCTGCTCTGAAGTCTGTGAAGGGCTGCACTGCGGTTCGACTGCCCCTCTCGAAAGCCTTGCTGCGAGGCTTTCGGACGAATTCTGCGTTTCCGTGTTCGATAACTCCGTGGTCGTTAAACACGCGCAACTTACTCTCAGAATCGTCGTATACAATTTCGTGGTTGTCGTACTGGCCGGGAAGTTTGTTCGAACCTGATCTTTCTATTTTCTGTTCTCGAAATAGGAAGGATTCGCTTATGATGGCTTTCTCTTCGGCAAAACTATTTGGATCGTAAACCACTTCTTTGTTTTCACTGTAATGAAACGACGACTGAGAGCAAACAGCACCGGTGGGATCACAAGAATTGTGCTTGTTGCTGGGTTGCGATGTTGCCCCGCCATTGGCATCCAGAGCCGCATCGTTTGCGGCAAGAAAAGTGGCGAAGCCTTTTTCCTGGGTATTGACATCGTTGTCTATGTATATCTTTTGGTCTCTTCCCGTGTTACAGCCTTCGTTGCCGCCCTTCAGGTGTTGATTTCGATTGTGACGCGACTGRTTCCAGCTTTTGCTGTTCTCGCTTCCAACGGATTTATAGCTGCTTGTCCTGGTGAGACTAGGACCATTGGCTTTGTTACGGTGTATGATCCTTCCAATTCCGCCTCGTCCCTTTATGTTGAAGGGAACTTTCTTTCTTTTTTCGAGTCGGTCATTTTTGATGTCACTRGTGTTGTTGTCAGTCACCTCCTTCTCATTTGTTTGTGGTCCAATGGCGCCTTTAGCGTCGTGGTGATCATCGCCGCCCTCGAAGGGAAGTTTTGTGACGGAAAGATCCGGTCGGTTCTGCTGAGAAGTTTGTGGGTCGCTGTTTTCGAAATACCAACTCGCAGCCCCCATGCTGCTGCTGCTGAAGGTGCTTGCGTTGCTGTTGGTAAACGATCTTTCTCTGTCATCTTGATCGTCATTGTCGAACGAGTTCATGAGAACGTTGCCATACTCCTGCACGATTTTCTTGATGACATTTGTTTCAGTATCGCGATCTTCTTCGCCACACCCACTATAATCGTCGTTTCCTTCCATTCCCAGATCGGACAGATACCCGAGTCCTACGGTGTTTCTCGCGTATTTCTCGATAACGTCCATTGTGCTGAGGATCCCTGRTGAAATTCTCCCCGAGGCTCCCGTAGAATTTCTCCGCAAGGCGTTGTAGTCTTGTAAGGAATTGTGCTCCTCCTCCTGTTCGTAGTCGTCTTCATTTTCGTTTTCGTTGCCTRTTTTGTCGCTGTCCTCGCCACCTGATTTGTTCTGGCCAGTGCCGTCGTCCGGAGGGACGGGAACATCGTCGGGGGAGTTGAATTCTGGCTGCAACATTGGTTGCTTTGGTATGGGGTCGCGACTGGCGGTTGTCTGCTGCTGAAGCTGCGATGGTGATAACGGCATGGCTGTGGCTATTTTTCTTCAACTTTTTGTTGGATCAAGGGGTCTGCTCGGAATGTTTGTCGAGGATTGATTATGGCCGGTTGGTCTCGGTACCGTACCGATCTGCAGCCGAGAAAAGCTCTGTATCTTTTTTAGGTTTGAGCGCGAAGCTTATCGTAACGATTCCAACGGAGTGGATCTGATGAAACGTACCAGGAGGTACGTATTGCGTGTGATTTTTCTCATTCTAGTCGTTGTTAGCTGCTGTACATTACAGAAATCTTAACGAAAAAAGTCTGTCCCCGCGATCGATTTTTTTGACACGAGCAGAGGGTGGGAAGCAACCGGGAACCCAGTCACATTTCCCATATTACACATCGTGACTCGTATTGCCAATAGCGGCAAGTCGGGTCAGGCGTCATTTCCCTCCGATTATAACAAAACCCCGCCCTCGTTTTGGCGCGGATACGTCAACGTTGGAGACCTTTCTTGATTTGTTGCCTCGAGGCGTGTTGCTCTCTCCAGGCCCTCCGGGACCCACACATGCACGCGCGCGCACACGCCCCCATTTTCAGCTCTATGCTTTGGGGGTGAATAAAAMGTGTTTTWTAAAACCAGAAAAGTAACCCACTATCATTGGGTTATTTTTTTCAAGAAATAACCCAATTTTGGAAAAAATCTACATTACTWAAAAGATGTTTCACAGTGGAGACCTAAGTAATACTAYGGATATCATAACAAGTGATCGCCACACTAAGAAATTGGTTCCCATCGTTATTTTAATGATGCCATCCTTAATTTTTTTAGTACAAATTCTACAGAGCTCTACTGAGTGTTGCTCCCCAAAATTTTCAGCATGTTTTGCCTTCTGAGAAAGAATCTGGATTGGTTCTCCGCCACCAGAATAGTTGCAAACTACCTCAGTACATTTTGTACTGTGTTCTACTGKGCTAAGGATGGCATCATTAAAATAACGATGGGAACCAATTTCTTAGTGTGGCGATCACTTGTTATGATATCCGTAGTAAAGTACAGTAACCCACAAATAACGTATTTGTTGTTATAACCCATTAATTTGTCCAGTTGAACCACAATTCTTCTTACTGCTACAGCTAGTAGTTAGTACTGCTGAAGCTTTTTAACATCATGTCAGGAGGTTCTTCCTGCCTTCTTGTTGTTGTTGTTGTTCTTCTTCTTCTTCTTCTTCTTCTTCCTCCTGCAAAAAAAAGGGCTTATTCAAAAATTATTATTACTACTACTAGTATTGCTCCTACTACTAGTAATGCCTTGAGTAAAAAGTGCTAGACACCTTCAGTTATCCAGGTTACCCTTTGAATGTCATGTTGATGCAAAATCCCACATGACCTTTGGTTTGTTTTATGCCCACCACTGCTAGTTGTTACCTTCAGGCTCCGGCTTCACTTCCAGAGTCCTCCTCTTTGCAGAGTTCCAGGGGGAGAGGAATCCCCATGATGTAGCTCTGCTGGTGCTGCCCCTCCTCCCCAGGAGGAGGTGCAGCTGTGGGCAGACTGGATGAAATCCTCTAACTGCTGCTCTGAAATGTAAACCAAGGCCAAAAACCTTCGGAAGGACCTTAACCATCTCCAATCTTCCTAGTAATCTAACGACGAGGAAGATGAAGAAGGCACTATGAAAAATCAAGTGCACAAGAGAACTTCACGAGATGCATATTACGATGTCGCTGATAAAGAAATGTTGAGAAAAACATATTCTAGAATCTAGTGATATTTAAAGGAGTCTATTCAGAGAGAGCATCTAGTATAATTTCTTCTCCATTTGGAGGACACTCCAATGTCCAAACATGCGATCGAAGCTTCTTTGGAATCGTCGAAGCCGAGATTTTTTCGAAACTGCTGACACCGTCATGGTATCCTTGTTATCTCGACTCTGCTGATGAACGGCAGCAAACCCGTTGCGTTCGTACAACCGACGTGCGTTCGTATTGGATCGGACCATGTATAATCCCAGAGTGGTGGCCCCCAATATTTCTTTTGCAAATTGTTCYGCCCACTCTAACAACATCGTTCCTATGCCCTTCCCCCGGTGGTCCGGATGGCAACCAATCCATTCGATGAAAACATCGACGACTCCGTCCGAACGACGAGGACGAAGCTGCAGCTGACAGGCCGCAACGACAACGTTATCTCCGTCTCCTTCCTGGTCGCTACTTCCCGCTCCGCCTGCCTTTTGACTTCGTAGTTTGACGATGCGACAGAGTTCCAGTTTGGCGGGACACTCCTTGTGATAAAGATGGTACCTCAAATAGTTGTTTTGTTGTTCCTGTTCCGGAAATGCCAGTTCTTGCAAGACGGACAGGGCACGAAAATCAGTCGGTAGTGGCGTCGACAGCAATTCGTGTTCGGGCTCAATTACGGTCGCCATCGTTCAAAGTATTTATTTAGGAACTGTAATGGTGGTGGCAAGGTATGGAAGCTGTCCCCAGATTTTTTTCTGGGGTTGTCTTATTTTGTGAGCGTTTTGTTGGAGGTTGCGTGTGCTTTCGCGACAGCCGCCTCCTCTGTTTCCATTCTCTAGACTCGCTTCGGCATGTATCTGCCTTCGCTTCCGTCTTTGAGTGTTGAACTAAGCTGAAGCATTGAGGTGTTAGCGACAACAAAATTTGTTGTAATCGTCACCGAGTCTCATCTGTTGGCTCATCTTCCCATTTATTGTCGGCAGAAGTCGAAATCTGCAAATTCGAAAATCGTGACGAGTTTCGTGACTTGCTGAGTAGAAGTACAAGTAATAGTAAGGGGGTAGTGAACGATTAGAAACCCGACTGCAGTCATTACTGTATTTATTTACGAAAAATTGTTTACTTCGAGTTTCATAACAATTGAAACCGGACGCAGCCAGAGAGCAATAAGTAATAATTTCAAGTTCTAAACTTTGATTTGAAGTTATTAACTTTTGCTCGTACATCATGTACCAGGTTCTACTGAGCTTGTATTTAAAATGACCGATTCCCCTCAAAACAAAACAAAATGATTCGAGGTGATTCAATTATGAATCCTGGCCTTTCAATCATGAATGCCATCCAAAAACTAGCTCAGTAGAACCTGGTAGACTTTCTACCTCGAACAATTTTTTACCTTACCAAACTTTTCACCTAATGACCCTTCCATAATTCATTTCATTTTATGCGTTCACACGTGTATTACCGCAACTGATTGTTTCTTACGGTTATTGTACGATTTCAAGAATTCGCAAGTTTCTGATTCGCCGATGAGTCTGTGCGCAGGACCTTTCCGAGTGACGTTCCCTCACGTCAGGTCGTCTTCTGGGCCCTCCGGTCCCACGTGCACATCCCCCTTTTCGAATTCCTCCCCTAGAAAAACGTGGGTTATTTTTGGTGAAAAATAACCCACGTTTTAGAATCACGGGTTATTTCATGGGAAGAATAACCCACATTACGTGTTTTTTTAATTTGAAAAATAACCCACAAAAGAACCCAGGAACCCACAAATAACCCACGAATTTACAGTCATCTGGGTTGGTGGAGAACCAAGGATAATAAGTACTTTAGTCATTAATATTATTAAATCACTGTTTTTAATTTTTGGGAAATGGCCCAGGAGGTTTGTGGGTTTGTTGTGGGTTATTCATGGGTTATTTCTTGGGTTAACCCAGGAACCCAGGAACCCACGTTTTTTAGAATCATGGGTTATTACATGGGAAAAATAACCCACGTTTTTGAAACATGGGTTATTTTATTTGAAAAAAAACACAAAATCATACCCCCAATATTAGATTTCAAAGTGAGATGCGCACGCATTGGTTCTGGAGGGCCCTGGAACCATGTCGATTTCAACTTTTGAAAAAAATTAGATTCCCAGCAGTGACGTTCTGAAACAGCAAATTTCCACGTATGCTTAGCTACTGGATCCCCGACTAGTTCCACTAAAGTAGATGGTTGCTGCAATGAGCACACCTGTAGCGCACCAAGACAGTATGGCATGTGTGCTTGTACACAGCCGCTCTATTGAAAGAATAGGGGGTTCCGGGAAAAAAAATTTGTTTTAGCCAAATTTATCTGTTTTTTTTTTTCTGGTAGATTTATGGTAAAAAAAATGACGCCTGACCCGACTTGCTGCTATCGGCAATACAAGTCACGATGTGTACTATGGGAAATGTGACTTGGTTCCCAGTTGCTTCCCACCCTCCACTCGTGTCAAAAAAATTGATCGCAGGGACAGACTAGTACTAGTACTACAGGACGAATGATGATATTTGTGATATCTGTTGGGGTGGAAGTACCCATATCTATGAGTTTCCAAAGGCATCTACCATCTCCAATCTGATTAGCCATGGTACAGGAAGGTGATCTTTCTTTTGATGATACGTCCTTGAAAAATTGTCTGACAATAAGATGTTGTTCGGACAACTAGCTACTAGTAAGAGTCTGATATTATGGCAGCAACCTTTGTTTGACTGTGTCTGTGTAAATTTTCAGAAAACATTGCAAGGATTTGTTTGAAACAACTATGATCTGAAAATGTGTGTTTCATTGCCATTTTGGATGATGATTGGAGTGGTTTCAGGAAAAACCAACTGAAGAATTAACATAACCATAACCAACCAACCGACAAATTGTCAAGCCCATTTGCACAGAGTTATTGTTGTCTTTATTCCTTGGGCAACATCTTGGCAAAAATTGTGGTCAAGCCAGCCTGTTCAACTGATTTTTTCAACTGTTTGAAGTTTTTTTGTGTAAACACCAATCTGGCTTGATTGGAGTAGTATTTACGGATTTCCTGCCAATATGAGATTTTGCCATTCTTGCCAACATCTCATGGCCAAGCTGGCCAGTTTTCTTGGGAATCGTAGATGTGGATTTTTGCTATCAACCCCAATCAAAAAAAATGAGTCCAATGAGGAATAAAGGGAGGAGTTTTCAAAATTCATGGACAAATCTGTTGAAAAGGGATGTAATGAGCTTTTTTTTGGTACCAGATGTGGTACAGAATAAAACTTATTGTATGTTGAAATTTTGATTCCCCTTATCATAGAAATGCTAAATGAACTAAATCTTTGCCATTTAGCAATTCTATAATAACAGGAATCACCCAATATCAACATACTTCTTCTGTCCACAAACATGTGTTGCTACGACCCTTCTTTTTGCTATCCCCAAACACCATGTGTCAGTTGGTGATTCTGTCTTGTAGGATTGTTCATGTACAATTAGTACCAGAAACTTTTTCTTCAACACTAATTGCATGATTCTTCATACTACTACTATTACTATTACTATTACTACAACTATTACTACAACTACTACTACTCTACTACTAGGACTCCTACTGTTGATTGGCTTCAGCAGCAGCATTAGCAAAAACTTGCCGACCTTGCATGATGCGATCAGCATTGCAAAAAGGTGAAACTGGAAGGGCACCTTGATGCATAAGACTTGCTTTTCCCACGTGCAGTAGCTTATAATTGTTGTTGGTGCCTGCAACACCAAGGGATGCTTCCATACAAGCCTGGAGGGATAGAAAGACATTGTTGAGTGTTTCACACTTAGCCTTGTCAAATGCCTCTTCAACATTGGCAATCAAATTATYAATATCTTTTTACTGTTTCTTGCACTAAAAACTTTGAATTGAGTTAAAGAAACCAAGATCATTTTGAACTGTTCCATGGTTGAGTGATCACACAAATATTCCAACAATTGCTTACTGCAGCTGTTGCAACAAGAACATCTCTGATGGAGGCCTGCAACGTACGTACTGTATTGGAAGGATACGTACGTACTGGAAAGGATACGTACGTACTGGAAAGGAAGCATACGTACGATACAAAGATTCAAAGAAAGGAATGAGAGAACATACCATTCCTACCTACATATCATAATATACTATTCATATATACGCATCATACGATCCATCATGTTGATGATCGTGAGAGGTCTAAGATACTATTCGAGAATACCTCACGAAGAATAGAGATGTCACGAGTCCGGAATGGAGAACCTCCATGTAGATTCCCTACCAGGTCTACGTGAGGTTCTAATCAGAACTTCGGAATTGTCGTGAACGCGCTTGGTAATCTTCGAATAATTCTAATCTTATAATTCAATTTTCATACACACTTAAACACCTACTAAGAGTACACATAATCTCGTGCACAGTAATTACTAAGTGATTTTTCGTGTATCGAAATTAATCAACCCTTAAGAAAATCAACCAAAATATCACATCGACCATGGTGAAACCAAAGAACTCCACATCCACACGATATCAACATTCACATTTATCATGCCTTACCCTTGACAACCAATTCAAGAATAGTGACCTTGATAGGATCAGTCTCTTTGTGGATCACCCAGCAAGGACAGAGACAACAGGAAGAGGAGCTAATCGGAGAACAAGGGAAATTCCTGCAATGAGAAAGAAAAGAAGCTGTGTGGTCTTCTCCGGACAATATGGAGTACAGGAGTTATTCTATGTACAGGAAGCCTTTGAGGATGCAGCGTACGACTTGAAACTGAGGGATGAGCAAATAGACGAGAACTGGCTCACGGTCTTGGCACATGGGCCCAGACAGAAGTGGAATAACATGTGGCGCAACAACCGATTAAGTGAACGAGTGACAAGAAATAGCAAAGCACATTGGGAAACAGCTCTCCTTACCTTCAGAAAGTTTTATGCTTCATCCAAGAGTGCCAGGGACRATGTTATTGATAACTTAAAATCAGAAGCAGTAAGAAAACCTCATTCAATCTCCTGTGAAGCACACRCTGACAAAATTGAGAGATGCTGCGCCAGAGCCAACATTCTTCATGGCGTCTGTGAGCCCCTATCAGAAAGAGAGATCAAACAGATCCTTTTTAAATCCTTCCCCAAATCCTGGCAGAATGATTACAAAAAGTGTGGGAGAAATATCTTGAGAGACACGATTGAGGGAATCGTAGAGTTCATGGCCGAACAAAAAGGAATGGCAGATGAAGAACAGCAGCAACGTTCAAGGAAAAGACCAGCAGATGACACTACAGATACTAAACAACGAGGAAGGAATAATGGAAAACAAAGGAGAAGAGGTAATAACAACAGTGATAGAAACAACAGTGCAAACAGACAGAATGAGACCMCGGAAGAGAGACAGAAGAGAATCAATGCAACGCCTTGTAAAATACATAAGGGACAACATCTATGGGGCGAGTGTCGGTTCAATAAGAAGGGTTATAATCTGAGCAACGGAGGAAACCCAAGCAACGGAGGAAGCCAGGGAAATTCAAATGCAAGCAACARCAGTAAGAGGTTCRCTCCAGGAYTGTATTRTATGGATGAACATGGAAACATGAAACCACAGTCGATCCAAACTCAGAATTATCATGGCTCCAACYCCAGTGGTCCTCCAAGCCAYGTATCACTACAGTCCAACAGCAACCCGGGCTCGACGATTCAATTCCAAGGACAAGGACAAGGCCCAAATCAACAGTGGTGACATTCAAGCGAGGATTACTTTGCATTGCCACCACAATTCACTCAATCACCAACAGATAGCCTTGAGCTTTATGGCCTTGATAATRATGAAGCTCTCAAGAATCCAACAGCAGTCACCTT